TTTTTTTTTTACAGAACCGGGGATTGAACTCATATCCTTGCGTTTGCCAGTCAAGCGCTTGTCCTACTGAGCCATCTCCCCGGCCCCTAAACTTTTTTTTTATATAAAGGTTAATACAGTATTTCATTTTCTTTTCTTTCTTTCTTTCTTTTTTTTTTTTTTTTGTGGTACTGGGAGACCTTATATTTGCCAGGCAGGCGCTTATGCTGTTGAGCTGTATCCCTGGCCCTAGTATTTCATTTTCAATACTGTAAGATATAATGTTAGAAGGTATACTTCAATAAATTTCTTATATATTTCTGAGATGAACTAAATCTTTCATTCTATTGATTTTCATGAATGTGCAATACTTATTGGTGGAGTAGTGCTGACATTCTGCCGTGACTTTGCCTTCACAGGGCTGGAAATGTGGTCTAGTCACAGGATGGGACAGTCATTCATCATTAATGCAGCTGAACAAGTGTTTACGTTTCAGAAGACTATGGAGCAAACTAAGGTCTGAAAGAAGGAGCAATACAGAATGCTGATCAGGACCAGGCACGGTAGGCACATCTCTAACCCAGCACTGGGGAAGCTGAGAGAGGATGGTAACAAGTCCACGCCCAGCCTGGGCAACACAGCAAATGAGGAGGACCCAGTTTCAAAAGGGCCCCGGAGATAGCTCAGGGGTCTAAGCGCCTGTCTAGGAAAGAGCTGGGACCGGGGTCTGATCCTTGGGACCACATGCTGTGCTGGCCTGAGCGTGGCAACGCAGGCCTGTAATCCCAGCACTGGGAGGCTGAAACAGGAGGATCACTACAAGACCCAGCTGCCTAGTGAGACCCTGCACTAAATATATACAAAAGAAAAATTAAAAGGGCTTCCCAGCACTTGGGAGGCTGAGGCAAGAGGATCACTGAGTTCAAGGCCAACCTGGACCACATGGTAGGTGAGTTCAAAGTCAGACTGAACTACATAAAGAGACACTGTCTCAAAAAGATTTTTTTTTTTTAAAAAAGGCTGGATATATAGTGAGACACTGTTTCAAAATGGCCGGGAACACAGCTTGGTATAAAGACCCTGGGTTCAGTCTCCAGTGAGTGCCAGGAAGGAAGAAAAAAATAACAACCCACTAGGCAGGAAAGCTTAAGTTTTAAATTTTATTACTAAGGAGTAGAGGCCACAACATTAAAAGGAAGAAAGGGAAAAGAGGAGCAAAGTGATGTGCAGTGCTGTGGGGCCTACAGTCCCAGCTCCTCAGCAGGCTAAAGCTGGAGGATCATTGAGCCTGGGCCAGTCTGGGCAACATGGGTGCACAGGCAGGCAGGCAGACAGATGTGCATGAACACAGAGAGGCGGTGCAGGCAGACAGATGTGCATGAACACAGAGAGGCGGTGTGGACATGGTGAGAGAAAACAGGATGGGCTGTTACCTTCTTACACATTTCAGTTTTGATCTTGAGCAGGTTGACCTTGAGACACTCCTCCACTTGACCTGTCTGTTCCTGGGCTGCTGCTTCTTCAGCACACAGACTGGCGATCTGCTCCGGAGACAAAGGGAAATGAGGTTGACCCACTGGGCACTGAAAGGCAGGTGGCTGCCTGGGCAGGAGCCTGCTGCGCCCAGCCCACCCTGGACACCAACGTCTGCTCTTGCTGCTTGAGCATCTCAGATAGCTTCCTGGTGTGGACACACCCTCCTGCACTGAATGCAGGCACCCAGGCTCTGGCCTCCTGCACAACTGTTGGCGCTCAGAATTGGCACTCAGAGTTGTGGTTAGTAAATGCACAGGAGTTAAGCTGCCCCCTGACTTGTCGTCAACAAGACGACTTCCAGATTCCACAGCAGGGAGGCAGACAGCCCAACAAGAGTCCAAAAACGAATGCACAGCATTTACAGCCATCAGTGTCAACCCAGTCTTCTCAAACAGCCTAGAAACAAAGCGAACAAAGCTGACTTTCTTTGCAGTTTCATGGGTTGCCATCTTTGAAATATCTTTTGCTGTGGTTTCCTAAAATTGACACATGTTGAACAGAGTTCTTTTTTTTTAATGGAACCGGGTATTGAACTCAGGTCCTTGCGCTTGCCAGGGAACGGAGTTCTTTTACATGTCTTTTCCTGCTATGATATCAACTATCTTCCAAGGAATGGCACTTCCATAAAGCCAGTAAGACAGTGTCATTATTTTTCTGCTCTCAGGGTATTCTGAGTTGATGATACAGAAGGAGGCAAGGGGAAAACAGGTAATATGCAGGATGTGATAATGAAGAATACCCCTACTGAAGACAGAACCCAGGACTCAAGACAGTGGATGGCCTTGAAGATTGGCCTGCAACTGACCAGGAGTTTTGGGCTGGAGAGCAACAAAGTACAGCAAAGAACTTTTCTCAGTCTTCCCTCAGCATCATGGGCTAGTTTTTCCCGTGTCCTACCTCGTCTGAGCAGTGCAGCTGGAGCTGAGGGTCAAGGCGGTAATCTAGTGCTGACTCCTGGATGATGATGCGGATCTGGTCCTCACAGTCTGAAGATAGCCGCTACATGTGACACAGGGACAGCCCGTCAGAAAACATCAGGTTTTTATTGACCCCCTATCCTCTGACTTGGGGAATGTTTAAGAAAGGCTTGGAAAAACAGCAGCCAGCCAGGACTCTCAGAGAGAATGCCCCCCAGGGACAGAGGCAGCTTCCTGCACCCTGGTGTGGGGAGCCCGGCCAGTTCACCTGGTCAGCATATCGCAGCTTGAGGCAAGAGATGACTTGGCCTTCCAGCTCTGAATCGTCTTTGGCCTTGTTCAGGATGCCATGACAGAATTTTGGAATGTCAGCTTTACAGGCTTTTCTCAGCACAGGGTTTAAGCGGTAATCTAGAGCAGAAAATAGTTACATAAATATTACAGCAGGACATTTTCACCAATTTTAGAAATCTATTTTCCAAAAGGGGACAATATAGCACGGACGAGATAGCTCAGCAGACTAAGTGCCTAGTTAGGCAAGCACAAAGACTGGGTTGATCCCCAGCACCAGAGGCCGTGTGGACGCAGGCCCAGGTACTAGCCCACCGAGCCATCTGTAGTCTGGGTATGGTGGTACACACCCATAATCCCAGCCCTGAGGAAAATGAAAACAGAAGGATCACTACAAATCTGAGCTGTGTAGTGAGAAGTGAGAACCTGTACCAAATACATATAAAAAAACCCCCAGTAACTACAACTCCGAGACAACACACATCAATGTCATGACTATAAACACTTGAATTTGTTAATTCGGCACATGTCTACTGAACTCTTGCTCTGTTATCGTTAATGAGCGACATGATTTAGTTCAAGGTACTGCAGGTCCCCAGGCATTCTACTTTGTAGATTTTTCTGGTTCTTTACTGAACATATCAAGGGGATATGAGAAGTATTGTTGATGATGGTATTTTTTAAAACACCAAGAAAAAAAAAAAAGAAAATAAAACACCAAGAAAGAAATACCTAACCTGCTTTGTCCATCAATATAAAAACTCAACCCAACACTCAAATTTCTGTTCTAAACCAGCTTAGCAGTATCATTTGCTACACTCATAAAGTTGTACTAGGGGCCGGGAGATGGCTCCGTGGAAGAAGTGCTTCCCTGGCAAGTGCAAGGGTCTGAGTTCAATCCCTGGTTCTGCCAAAAATAAATAAATAAATAAATAAAGTTGTCCTAAATATCTATTCTTTTCTAAGAAGTTTTAGCACTAATTCCTTCTGCATGTTAGTGTCTTTGTTTGTTTTTTGAGAAAGGGGCAATCCTCCTGCCTCAACCCTGTAAGTACAGGGATCACAGGTGTGGACCACCACACTTGGCCTTTCCATATGTTCTTAAGGGCAGCCCGCAGATTTTCAGCCTCTTCTTTCCCCTGATCTTCACCCTCTTTTCCTGGATATTGTGCAATGGTCCACCCAGGCTCCTAAGTTCAGGCAGCAAAGCACCTGTGGCAGAACTGGGTAACTGTGTCCACTCTAGTTATACTGACGCTATACCAATGGGACCTAGAGAGCCGCGCCAGGACAGTACCTGTGTTCTGGGTGATCTGGCGTTTGGTTATCATCTGTTTGCATTTGGGATCCATCAGCTCACTGTTTTTATTTTGCTTCAAGCATTGTAACATGGTTTTAGAATCTGCTTCTGGGCAGAACCTCTGCAAAGAAACAACGTTTCATGATATCTGGTATCCAAGGCTGGCAATCAGCCCACTTGTGATCACCCTTACATCTCTGAATGTTCACAAAAACTGCAGCATGCAGGCATCGCAAGTGCACAGCCTGGCCTGAGGGGGCACCTGGCCTACAGTCCCTTTCTGGACTCACCCTTCTCTTCGCTTCTCACCTTTCTCTCCACAACCTCTGGTTCCTGTTCTGCATGGGACTGCCCCATCACTATGGCTACGTCAAGTGCACGCCATCTCATGAACTTCACTCTTGAGTGTCGCTACCACACTGTACCCACAACCATCCAGCCTCCAGACTACTCAGCCCCAGGGGAAGAGACAGGGAACCTGTCCCCCAACCAATGTAAACAGGAATTTGGGACAAGGCTGAGTCTGGTTGGGATTTTTTTTTTGAGATAGGGTCTTGTACGCTTGCTTCGGCAGCACATACACTAAAATTGGAACAATACAGAGAAGATCAGCATGGCCCTGCGCGAGGATGACAAGCAAATTCGTGAAGCGTTCCATATTTTTCTGACAAAACTAAAACAAAAGGATACAAATAAAGGACCTATTTTTATATCTGTATATGAAAAATAGGATAGATATACAGATACTTTTTCTTAATTCAATGAGAAGAAAGATTTGTACTAATAGTGTTTGGACAGGATATCATGTTTGCATCTTGTACTATGAATAACCACTATGAAAACAACAATATGCGATGTATTAGCTATTGAAACTGTCCTATTAATCGGTTTGGAAACTGTCTCATTGCTATTTGTTTCTCAATAAAAATTTAAAAAGGGGGTGTGTTAATTATTGAAACTGTCCTAGCGATTTGATTTGAAATTGTCTCACTGCTATTTGTTTATCAATAAAATTATGAAAAAAAAAATTTAAAAGGGGGGGGCAGGGAGATGGCTCAGTAGAATAAGCACTTCCCTCACAAG